GTTGTGGATGGGCATGGAACACGTAGGACAGGCCCAGCAAATCCTCCTGGTGGTGGGCATGGAAGGGTCACCTCCAACTATCAAGTCTGCCCCATCATGCCATCTTAACTCCATGGAGAGATTCCAAGCGCCCTCTGGGCCAAGCCCTGGGCTCAATGATGAAGGTGCAATTTAAACAGGGCCCCTAGACTCTGGGCCTCCCACTCTATGCTGGAGACTGGAGGGCTGACCATGGCCATGGGAAGTGGGGTGTGTACCTCAGACCCCTGCCCAGGCTCAAGAGCAGGGCAGAGAAAGGGTGAGAGACTGGGTGTGATTCCCAGACTTGCTCGTTTCCTGTCCAATTCCAGATCACGAATAAAAGTGACTTTTCTGGGCCACCTATCTGTTTGATGACATTTCAGTTTGAACACCTGCTGACGTCTTGGAAAGTCTCAGCAGCAGGGGATGCCTTTCATCGTTGCACATTTAGCCCGTTCAAGGACTTTAGTGGACCGTGGTCACCTCAAGACACATCCTTCACTGTGCTGGTTTTGTCCCTGGTTGCTATGGAAGGGTCCATATGACACCAGTCTATAAGTTGGGTGTGTGTTGGGGTAAGAACAATGGAGCAGGTTGCAGACTCTAACTCTTGACAACATGAGTTCAAATCCCAGCACTACTTTGGATAAGTCACTCATCCTCCCTAATGCCCAGTTTATGTATTTACAAAGATAAGGCAGGGATGTCCCCTCAGCAAGATTAACATCAGCCCCAGAAAGGGGCCACAGAGGACCCGGCAACCTGGTGACAAGGAGCCATTCGTACTTCCACCTTTCCCAGAACAGCACTTATTTTCCCAAGAATGACTAGGAACGTCTGTTTAGAAAAGAGGGGACGTAGTCGACTGCAGTTCGAGTCCCGGACCCAGTGGCTTAAACTCATGCCGGGCGTGTGTGCTTGTGTGCCCAAGATTCTGAGAGGAGAATGGAGAAGGGATTGCAGCGTGACCATCCTCCCTGGGGGGTGATTTCTTGCTTTCTATCTCTGTCTCTCTCTGTCTGTCTGGTGAACGCATGCACCCTATAGCAAAAGCCTCTCCCAAAAAAAAAGAGAAAAAAGAAAAGGGGGGACTGTTAAAGCTTTGGGCTGTCAGCAAATACAGAACCAACCACTCTGTAGCTGAGTCATGGTGAAATCTGGAAATTCGGATACCAGCGGTTGTGTGGTAGTTAAGGAGCTGGATTCCCACATGGCCAACTGCTATTTGAGTCTGTAACCCATTCTGGCCGAGGCTAGCTGGCGGTGTAGTGGTTAAGGTGCTGGACTATCACATGGCCAACCGTGGTTTGAGTCCCAGACCTGGCGGCTTGAAGTGCATGCTGGGTGCATGTGTATGTGTGCCCAAAATCTCAGGAGAAGGGAGTGCAGTGTGGCCATCCCCTCTGGGGGGTGATGTCTCACTTTCTCTCTGTCTCTCTCTGGTGAGTGCACACACCCTATGGCAAATAAATATGGAAGATGTGCAAACTCAGAGCTCATGGCTCTAATCGTGGGGTCTCTCTTCATGACCTATGCACTCGGAAAGTAATTGCTGAGTGATCATGCCATCTTAACTCCATGGAGAGATTCCAAGCGCCCTCTGGGCCAAGCCCTGGGCTCAATGATGAAGGTGCAATTTAAACAGGGCCCCTAGACTCTGGGCCTCCCACTCTATGCTGGAGACTGGAGGGCTGACCATGGCCATGGGAAGTGGGGTGTGTACCTCAGACCCCTGCCCAGGCTCAAGAGCAGGGCAGAGAAAGGGTGAGAGACTGGGTGTGATTCCCAGACTTGCTCGTTTCCTGTCCAATTCCAGATCACGAATAAAAGTGACTTTTCTGGGCCACCTATCTGTTTGATGACATTTCAGTTTGAACACCTGCTGACGTCTTGGAAAGTCTCAGCAGCAGGGGATGCCTTTCATCGTTGCACATTTAGCCCGTTCAAGGACTTTAGTGGACCGTGGTCACCTCAAGACACATCCTTCACTGTGCTGGTTTTGTCCCTGGTTGCTATGGAAGGGTCCATATGACACCAGTCTATAAGTTGGGTGTGTGTTGGGGTAAGAACAATGGAGCAGGTTGCAGACTCTAACTCTTGACAACATGAGTTCAAATCCCAGCACTACTTTGGATAAGTCACTCATCCTCCCTAATGCCCAGTTTATGTATTTACAAAGATAAGGCAGGGATGTCCCCTCAGCAAGATTAACATCAGCCCCAGAAAGGGGCCACAGAGGACCCGGCAACCTGGTGACAAGGAGCCATTCGTACTTCCACCTTTCCCAGAACAGCACTTATTTTCCCAAGAATGACTAGGAACGTCTGTTTAGAAAAGAGGGGACGTAGTCGACTGCAGTTCGAGTCCCGGACCCAGTGGCTTAAACTCATGCCGGGCGTGTGTGCTTGTGTGCCCAAGATTCTGAGAGGAGAATGGAGAAGGGATTGCAGCGTGACCATCCTCCCTGGGGGGTGATTTCTTGCTTTCTATCTCTGTCTCTCTCTGTCTGTCTGGTGAACGCATGCACCCTATAGCAAAAGCCTCTCCCAAAAAAAAAGAGAAAAAAGAAAAGGGGGGACTGTTAAAGCTTTGGGCTGTCAGCAAATACAGAACCAACCACTCTGTAGCTGAGTCATGGTGAAATCTGGAAATTCGGATACCAGCGGTTGTGTGGTAGTTAAGGAGCTGGATTCCCACATGGCCAACTGCTATTTGAGTCTGTAACCCATTCTGGCCGAGGCTAGCTGGCGGTGTAGTGGTTAAGGTGCTGGACTATCACATGGCCAACCGTGGTTTGAGTCCCAGACCTGGCGGCTTGAAGTGCATGCTGGGTGCATGTGTATGTGTGCCCAAAATCTCAGGAGGAAAAGGGAGGAGAAGGGATTGCAGTGTGGCCATCCCCTCTGGGGGGTGATGTCTCACTTTCTCTCTGTCTCTCTCTGGTGAGTGCACACACCCTATGGCAAATAAATATGGAAGATGTGCAAACTCAGAGCTCATGGCTCTAATCGTGGGGTCTCTCTTCATGACCTATGCACTCGGAAAGTAATTGCTGAGTGACCTGAAAGCAATAATTACATACAGATACTAGCACATGTTTGCTGAGCACACACTATGTACCAGACACTCTAAGAGCTCCTTACACATACCAGTTCACTTACGTGCCACAGCAACTCTCTGAAGTCTGCCCCCAGTACCTCCACTTTACAGATAGGTAGACTAAGACACAGAGAAGCCAGTAACGCAGCCACAGTCACACAGCCCAGGTGCATGCAAGCTAGCATGGTGGAGCTGGGGTTCAGTCCCAGGCATGGGGCCGGTGGTTTTTAATCCACTGAGCATCTTCCAGGGCAGGCCTTTGCTGGACTGCCCAGTACTTCCAACCATCCCAACGGCTCCCCAGGGGACGGTGACCAAGCTCGGTCTACAGGCGAGGAAACGGAGGCTGAGGGATGTGAAGTGACCACCGTTCGTGTTGGAATGCAGGGGTTAAAGAAAGTTTCACCAAGGTTGGCTGGAGCCCTGGGACACGGATTTGCCCACTCGTGACCCTGAGCCCACTAAAGCCTTATGCAACTTATCCCGCTCGCTCAGAACACCGCGTGCTTCGGCAACGTAATCCAGCTCAGCGGCTGAAAGCAAAGGATGCACAACCCACGCCTTCGCGTGGACAGCGGAGCTGGGGGGCCCCTCCGTGCTCTCTCCTTTCTGCCCACATCCAGCCCCTTGGCTTTCTACTCCTTGCTTGGCGAGCGGAACGGTGGCTTTGCTCTTCTTGGCGCTCGACTTCCTGCTTTGAGTTAATGTCTGAAGCCAAAGCCTGTGACCTGCCTTACTGAGAATGTATGCTATTTTCCAAAGCGAGCTCTTTGACAAAGTGCCATGGGGCTGACCCTGCAGGCTAGAGGCTCAGGGAGTCAGGTCCCACACAGCTGACAGCAATTGGAATCCTGGTCCTGGCAGCTTACAACAATGCTGGGCTGGGCACATGGCATATGTGCCCAGGATCCCGACAGGACAGAGATGGAGGAGGAGGGGTTGCTCTGTGACCCCACTCCATCGGGAAGCATCTCTACCCCCTCTCTCTGCCTCTCTGGTAAGTGCATGTGCCACCTGGCAATATTTAATAATCAAAGCCATGGTTGTCCTTTGGGGGACTGCGTTTGTGGTGGGCTGAATAATGCCCCACCACAATGTCCACTCCCCAATCCCTGGAACCTGTAACTCTGTTACTTGACATGGAAAAGAGACTCCGTAGGTGGATCAAGGACTTGGACATGAGGAGATTAATTCAGATTATCTGCATGGGCCTCCTGTAAACACAAAGGTTCTTAGCGCATAACCACAGCAGGTGGCGCTGTGGTTAAGGTCCTGGACTCCCACGTGGCCAACCCACTGCATCCCGGACTTGGTGGCTTGAAACATGCTGGGTGCATGTGCGTGTGTGCCCCAAATCCCAAGAGGAGAATGGAGGAGAAAGGGCTGTGGTATGGCCATCCCTCCGAGGGGATTTCTCACCTGTCTCTCTGTCTCTCCAGCAAGCACATGTGCCCTTTAGCAAGAATCTCTCAACCAAAAAAAAAAAAAATTTAGAAAAAAACCACAAACAAAAAAAAAAAAAAAAAAAAAGAGAGAGAAAGGAAAGAGGCTCAGAGCCAGAGAAGGATGTGAGGATGAGAGCAGAGGGAGCGACGGAGACAAGAGCAAGGAAAGAGGGAGATTACAAAGTGCCCTCCTGCTGCCTTTGCAGACGGAGATGGAGCCATGAGCCAAGGAATACAGACAGCTTCTAGAACCAAGGAAAGCAAGCAAACAGATTCTCCCCTGGAGCCTCCAAAAGGAAGGCCGTCTTGCCAACACCTTGACGTTAGCTCAAAAAAAAATCGGCAGGAACTAGGCAAGAACGAATCCGTGTGTTCTAAGCCCCTGAGCTCGCCGCTCCTCTGCACAGCGGCCCACTACCCAGTGCATGCTCCTACCGTCTCTGATGGTGAAGCTGTGGAGCAAGGCCAGGCCGTCGAACCAGTGGTTGTAGCTGGTCTCCCCGACCGTGTGCATGCCCGGCCCGTTGCGCAGCAGGGTTCCCTGCAGCCATGCCGGGATCTTGCCTGTGAAAAGAAAGAATGTTTGGTTTCTAGTTTCTGCATCCAAACCGAAAAGCTAGGAGTAAGGCCCTGGAAAGAAACGGAGGTCACTTGCCCCGACACCACTCACTGCACCTGTTGGCTTAGTCCACAGCCGTTTCTGGACAGTGGACTGATATGCCTGGCATTTGCTGGCCCTGAGACACCGAGACGTATAGGCCTGGCCCCTGTCCTCAAGCTGCTCACCGTCTCTGGGAGATGGGAACGACATACAGGATACGCTGGGGTAGGAGTGATGCTGCGACCCGCTTGAGGGCGCTGTGAGAGTAGACCCACAGTGGGCTGGGGAGGGCCGAGAGCTGGAGCCGTGGCCGGCTTCCCAGAGGAGGCAACCTGGCCGAGTCTCGAGGCCGAGTAGGGTTTGCCTCCCAAAAGCATAAGGAAGGAAAATTCTAGAATCATGCTGCACATCGTGGCAGCTACCAGCTCCAAGCAGCACTGAGCGTTAGCAATGTGGCCAGTCTAGAGGGAGAGGTGCTCTGTGTAGAAAACGCAGTAAGAAAATGAAGCCATGTGTCATACTGATTCATGTTGAATTGCTATCTTAGATATGTTTGGAGAGGTTTTTGCTATAGGGCGCGTGCGCTCTCCAGAAAGACAGAGAGACAGAGACGGAAAGCAAGAAATCACCCCCCAGGGGAATAGCCACTCCGCAATCCTTTCTCCTCCATTCTCCTCTTGGGATCTTGGGCACACATGCACCTGGTGTGAGTTTAAGACACCAGGTCCAGGACTAGAACTGCGGTCAACTACATGGGAGTTCAATGACGTACCCATTACACCAACTGCTGGTCCCGTGATCTTAGATACATTAAGTAACTGTCTCTTACTCCTTTGGTGAATGTGTCTCCTAGAGAAGTTGGAAGTACCTACACGGCATGAGCTCTTGGTCTGTCAGACAGCGCCATCCCACAGGCAGGGACAGCGGCAATGACACTGGCACCCCTGTGCCTGCGACTTTCACTTGCCCCTGCAAATGTGCTGCTCTGACTCGGGGGGCTTGCCTCCCCTGCACTGGGCAGGCTGCGGGCCTGGAGAGTTAGCGCCTCTGGGGAGTGGGGGCACCACTGCAGCCACTTCCTTACCCTGGGTGGGGTCACGCGGGGCAGAGTCACGTAATGCCCGCAGGATTCTGCTCCAGTGGCCCCTGGTCAACGGCTCCACAATGCCCCCTTCCTTGCTTCCTTCTCTCTTCCCGGGATCCCTCCTGTTACTTTTGAGATCAGGTCTCAATGAACAACTTACACCTGACTTCTTGCCTATGGAGAAATCCAGCCAGGAGATCAAACACCAGTTTAACGCTGGGCGTGTGTGTGTGTGTGTGTGTGTGTGTGTGTGTGGGCACGCGCGCACCCAAAGTTCCAAGAGGAGAATGGAACAGAGGGGACCGCAGTGTGCCATCCTCATTGGGGCGATTTCTCACTTTTCCTCTCTCTTTGTCTCTCTCTGGTGAGAGCACATGCTCTTTGAGGAAAAGTCTTAAAAACAAAATAAAACAAAAACCCCAACAGTTTAAAGGCCAGATGTGCAAACTGCTTAATGAGACGGCACCAGAATTTCCAGCTCTGAGCAGCGATGCTGGGAGCCACCAGGGGCCCAGCAGTGAAGGGCAACCCTCAGGCCACACTGACGTTCCCGTTTGCCCTCAGGAGGACAGGGCACCGTGGACACTTTTAACGGAATTCATGAAAGGATCAGATTTATCCCTTTGGTAATTTTTTATTGAGGTAACTTTTTTTTCTTTAAGATTTTTGCTATAGGACGCATGCCTCTCCAGAGAGACAGTAAGAAATCACCCCTCAGGGTGAATAGCCACACCATAATCCCCTCTCCTCCACTTTCCTCTTGGGATTTCAGGCACTCAAGTGCTCCCGGCGTGAGTATTAAGCCACTGAGTCTGCGACTCGAACCGTGGTTGACTATGTGGGAGTCCAGTGACGTAAACATCATGCCATCTGCTGGTCCCAAGAGATAAAGTTGATATACTTAAAGTGTATCCTTTTTAAGTGTACAGTTCAAAGTTTTTCAGTTTTGTTCCCTAATACTGGAGGTCACGTGTACTCTCCGGAGAGAAACAGAGAGAAAACACCCCCCGTGGGGCGTGGTCACACCACGGTCCTTTCTCCCGTGTCGCCATCCCGTCAGGAGGAGGGGAGGCACATGCTGAGCCTGGCGTGTTTTTTAAGTTGTCAGGACTAGAGGATTCGAACTGTGGGCAACCTTGTAGATTCAGCTTTCTGCACACAGCGCTTGACCACGGCACCACGGGGCTAGGCCACAAGGCAGAGTTTTTAGCGTGTTTACAATTTGTGCAACCATCGCCTCTAATTCTAGAACAGTCCATCACCCCCAAAAGAAATCCCATACCCATAGCAGTCACTCCCCATTTCCCCGCCCCAGCCCCGGCGACCACTGACCTGCTTTTCGCCTCTAGGATTTGCCTGTTCTGGACAATCGGTAGCAATGCAGTACGATGGGAGGCTGCCACGAACTGCAGTGAGGAGTGTGGGCTGGGAGCAGAGCTGAGGGAAGGCAGGACGACCAGCGGGAGGACCAGGCTGGTTGTGGGGACCAGGTGAAGCAAAGAGGCCTGGAGGGCTCAGCTAAGTGTGGTGCAGGGGTATGAAGGGAGGGGAGTTCTCCAAAAGGAAAGCTAAGTGCCCTGAGGTGCAGGGGCCCAGGGCTCTGGAGCAGGGGCAGGCTCAAGGCGGAGGGAGGCATGGGTCTGGATTGACAGTCAAAGCCCTGGACAAAGTCAGAACATTTATTGAGCACGTATGCCCAGGCGCTGTGTGCTGAAACCAGTCATTGAGCCACCCCATGTGGGAGTTACAATGCTACCTTCATTTGACATGTGGGAGGAGGGTGGGAGGTGGGGAGGGTGAGGGGAAGGGGCTTAAGAGGAAAACAGAGAGGCAAGACATTAAGGGGCACAGAAATGGAGGCCCGTCCGTTGAGGATAATGTGTATGAGAATGTCTTTAACTGGACTGCTGTGCTGTGCATTCCTGCTGGGGGAATTCACGTTATGAGCTGTGGGAGTGTGCAGTGATCGAATGTATAAAATAAATTTTAAGAAAAGAAAGAAGACACTGAGGCATGTCAGGTCAGCAGGTGGTGCAGTGGTTAAGGCACTGAATCGCACACGGCCAACTTCGTGGTTCGAGTCCTAGACCCGGTGGCTTCAAATCATGCCTCGTGTGTGTACATGTGTGCTCAAAATTCTGAGGGGAGACTGGAGGAAGGGACTGTGGCATGGCCATCCTTCCTGGAGGGGGGTAATTTCTCTCTTTCCTGCTCTCTGTCTGGTGAGCCCATGTGCCCTATAGCGGAAACTAAAAAGAAGAAGAAACTGAGGCAGGTCGCTTGCTGGGGGGTCTCAGAGCTAGTAATGCACAGTTGCACATGAAGCCAGAGCCCCGTTACAGCCTCCCTGGACAGCTGTGTCCATGCAGGCCCGACGTGTAGTTAGCAGTCTGACAACAGTGACCAGCAGATTAACCCTACCGGGCGCAGGTGGTACTCCAGGAGGCCTTTCCTCCGCGGCCCCAGAACAGGGAGGCTTGACCCAAGGCAGGGGTCCTCGCTTTGGGAAGCCCCAAAGGCCTGGTAGTGACAGAGATTTAGAAGCCTCAGGATCAGGGCTGGGCTCTCAGCGTGGGTGCCCACCAAGTGGCCACCTGATGCTGGTGCTGCAGGCCCAGGGACCCTCATGAGGACCGCTGGTCTATGTGATCTTTGGCATCCACTCACTCTCCCAGGTGCTAGGGTTCTTGTGTCCTAAAATTCTCAAGGATTTCCAGGAGTCGTTAAACACGAGTCATAAAGTCAGGGAGAGGGAAATGACACGGCAAACTGCTCATAACAGCCCAGAGCTCAAAAGACAGGCTCTGAAGTTTCCCTTTTCAAAATAAAAGGTTGCTAGTAAGTGTACATTTTCTTCATGAATCGCGATTGCCATAGGGCACGTGTGTCCATCAGAGAAAGGGAGAGGGAGAGAGAGAGAGAGGAAGAAAGCACTTCCCAACGGGGTGCAGTCACTCCACAATCCCTTCCCCTCCATTTCCCCAGCCTGTTGGTTTGGGGCATGCACCCACACGTGCCCAGTGTGTTTTTCAAGCCACCTGGGCCTGGATTTGAACCACAGCCAGCCATGTGGCATCCAGCTTCCAATGCACAGTCCTTGACCATAGTGCTATATGGGTTGGCCCCTAGGCCCAAGTTTTATTATGTGATTATTATTTTTAGTTTTACTAAAGCATGCATGGGCATGCCAAGGGGGGGGGTGAAAAATCACCCTCCAGGGGGAATGGCCACACCGCAAGCAATCCCTTCTCCTCCAGTCTCCTCTCGGGATTCTGGACATGCATACACACACACACACACACACACACACACACTTTTTCCAAGCACACTGGGTCTGAGACTTGAACCATGCAGTTGACCATGTGGGATCCAGCTGCCTTAACCACCATGCCCCTTGCTGGCCCTTCTAGACCCAAATAATAGTAGTGCTTAAGAGAGAGAACATATAGTTGATTTTTATTTCCTTATGTCTCATTTGCACTTCCAATTTTGTCTGTTATTTTACACATGCACATACAGACATAGAGACATGGATTGCATATTACCTCTGCAGTCAGGAAAAAGACACAGAACAGTTATTTCTTCTTTCAAAAGACTTCCCAGGCTCTTGTTCGGTTGGAAAGTGCCACCCGACTTGCCTACAGAGGGCATTCACTGTTGTCCTTTCCTCTTGAAAACCCCCAGCCCAACTACAGTGAGATGAAAACGCTGCCCTGACCGCGAGCTGCTCTCCGACTGAGCAAGCGCCACCCCGGGCTCGACTGCCCTTCGAAGTCTGAACAAGAAGGTACCAGGCAAATGGCAATCCATTGAAGGGAAGGAAACGAGAAACAAGATGAAGAAGTGAGACATGGCGCATTCTAGGAGGCTCTTCCTGCCAATGGTCTCGCCCTCGGTCTGTTTTGTTGGAGAGTGAGAATGACCCTTTCTCCTGGGAAACCACAAGTTCCAGTGCGTAATAGCACACCCAGCTTTTCACAAAAATGTGTCTGGGTTATGGGTCATTCTCCCGCATAAGCCATATTCCACACTTTTCCAAAATATTTTGCAATACGTCTTCTAAAATCAGGAAAACACGCAGGCCTGCCTGCAGAGAGCAGAACAGACTGTGCATACGAAGTGCTCACCTGTCACGCTGGCCCTCACAGGCTCCAGCTGTTCTTTCTTATTCCTGGCAAATATCGTATTCATCGTGTGGGTTGCCAAGAGAATGAGACTCACAGGACAGACGCTCCTCTCCGCTCCGAGGACGGCTCCTCGCTCCCTGCCCCTTCTCTCCTTTACATCACCCTCCCTCCCAGTGCCACTGGCTTCTCCTTTTGCTTTTTCCAGCTGGCTGGCTCTGATCGCGTCTCCGTCTCTGAGGGCGCTGGCGTTATTTACAAGATGTTTGGTCTAAGGTCAAGCTGCAAGCCATGTGCTATAGCTAATCTTTAATCCTCTTAGTATATCCCCAACTCTCCCTCTCCAGTTTCACTTTTGGCTTGACCAAGAAAGGCTAGTTTCTGGCTGGGCTGTGAATTGTTCGAGAGGTTTCAGTGAGTTCTGCTTCGCTGGGTTGTCTGAAATGATCAGCTGGCGGTGTTTGTGATCAGAACGGGGAAAGAGGCGGTCAGACCATTAACAGGGCTGGGATTAGGGGACCTCCAGTGCCAGGGTCACGTGAATGCTGGGGCACAGGAGGGGATGTCTTCTGCAGAGCTGGGCAAGGTTGTGTGTTTGTTTTGTTCTGAATGAAGGCCCTCTTCCAAGCTCTAAAAACCATATAGAAAGAGCAGCTTCATTCATTCTTTTCTTTTTAGAAGAGGGAAGCAAAAATGTTTCCATGGACCCATTTTTAAAAAGACAGGAAATCGAAGACTTCTCAGAAACTATGAACAAAAGTTCAACTTCCCAGCGAGATGGACCAAATGGTGCCTAGGTTTGATTTTAGGATTTCCCAATATTTGTGTCTCAATTCCACATTCGAGCTGCTGCTGTGAGTACAGGTGAAAAGCGTGTGGCTTAAAGGAAGAACCAGCCATAGCCAGCGTGAGCCGAGGCAGAAGAGGCTCTGGCCGTGCCTCTAAGCAGCCTGCCAAGTCTCGTTCTTGCCGGGTCTGGGCTGAGAGGCGTCCCAGTATCTCTGAACGATGTGTTTCCGAGAACAGCACGGGCCACCTGTGCTTCCGCACCTGGCTGCTCACTCATATCACCGGGCTGGGAGTTCTGGAAGCCCCAGTGCGGGGCCTGCCCATTGACTCAGGATCTCTGAAGGGGAAACCCAGCCGTCAGCATTTGAGAAGTGTCTCAGATGATTCCGATGTGAGCAGCAGGCGTTGAAAAGGCCTGATCCAAGAGACACAGGCTTTGTGTTTCCAGTTGCTGCTGGACTCAAACTCCCACTTGCCTTCTTTCTGTATCTCTGTCTGCACCTCAGTTCCTTCACCACGAAGGGGGCATGATGGTATCGGACACTCAGGACTTTTACTGCCAGTCAGGGTCTAGCGGAGGTGCCCGGCCCACACAGTCACCAAGATGTCGTGACCCGTTTCCCTCCGTTCTCTGAGCAGGCACTCCCCTCTGTCCCACATTTCCAGGAAGTTCCACGATATCTTGCCATCTGTTTCTCCCTGAGCGTGTGTGTCCACGCCAGGGCTATTCATTTCCTGCTGGTGAAATCTGCATCCCGGCGAGGATGAAATGAGAACGTCTGGTGTAGCCAAGGACTTAGCCAAACAGTGACGCCACAGGTGGGAGAGGGAGGTGATGGTGAGAGAAAGAGCCCGGGCTTAGAGACCCCAGCCCCGATAAGTACCAACTCTACTGTCCCACGAGCTCTCCAAGTCCCACTTCACTTGGCAACACCTACGACTCCGGCTTTGTTGGGAGAGTGACAAAATGGTGGAAGTGAACACGTGACGTGCTCTCGCTGTTTGGCCGTCTCTGCATATTCAGGAAAGCCTGGTCCCCACTGCTTGAGCGTGTTCTGTGAGTCGGGTGCTTTGGCCCAGCTCCCTGGCCCTACACGGTCCTGCTGGTGGGTATTAGTGCTGTTCAGAGACAGCAAACTCAGAGGAGGTAACTGGCTTGCTGTTGGTCACACGGAGACTGAGAAGCAGACCCGGGAGCCAAGCCAGGCAGCTGGCCTCCAAGTGTGCATTCTGAGAGGACTCCTCGAACGCTCCAATACAAGCGAGAACGTTTGCTAGATCCTTCTTGAATGAAGCAGTGGCAGATGCATGGGTGGGTGTTGGCTCCCAGTTGAACCCCAGGGACAATATATGAGGAGACGAAGGGTTTTCTGGTAATGATAAATTGAGCACAACAGCAAATATCGGTCCCAGTTTGCCAGGGCTGCCTCGACAAAGAGCCACACCCAGTGGCTTAAGCGGCACATTCATTACCGTTCTGGAGGCTCGCAGGCCACGATCGAGGTACAGGCAGGTTTGGTTCTTCCGAGGCCTCCGTCCTGGGCCCGCCACGCCCTCACACGGTCTTTCCTACATGCTGCACCCTGGTTGTCTCTACTTCTGTCCAAATTTCCTCTTCCTCTAAGGACACCATCGGATTGGATTAGAGCCCACCCCTGCAGCCTTATCTATTTCCAAACACGGTACATTGGTGGTACTAGGGACTGGGACTTCAGTGTATGAATTTGGGGAGACACAGTGCAGCCTGTAAAAATTGCATTAGGGCATGGTGAGCTAAGGGGAGACCCTTGGGCTGGAAGTATTAGATTTTCTGCTCAGGCCACAAGGAGCCCTTGCAGGTCACCGGGACCCTCGCCAGGGTCACTTGACTGAGCCCATTCACTTCTTCCACACCGCCGTCCCCCGAGGGTCAATTTTCACTTGTTCAGCCTGGATTATAGATAACTGCCTGCATTTGGGGCCAGCAGGTGGCATGGTGGTTAAGGCCACTGGACTCCCACATGGCTAACCATGGTTCGAGTCCTGAACCTGGCAGCTTGCTTTCTCACTTTCTCTCTCTCTCTCTCTCCTCCTCTTTCTTTTTCTCTCTCTCTGTCCCTCTCTGGTCAAATTGAAATAAATAAAGTTAAATAAAATAATTCTAAAAATTTTTTTAAAAAATTGCCTGCAATCAGGAATCACGTCCCTGCATACTGATGCGCAAAAGCAGGGAGATACACTAAAATGGGGGCAGAGGAGACACCGTCACCTGACACCTCTCATTTTATGCTAGAGGAAGATCTTCCCCAGAATTCCGAAATGGATTTTTCTCTTACATCTCATTGGCTGAGTTGTGTCACATGACTCTTCCAAGATCAATCCCTGGCAAAGAGGAACAGGAGAGCCTTCATTTCTTAAACCAACCGGGAGTCTCCCTCAGGGTAACATCACGCCAGGATCCTGTTAGCAAGGAAAAAGAAGCGAAAAGTCCAACACGGGCACCTTGCAGTGTCAGAGGCAGGCAGTCGTACAGTCGTTTATTCATTCGACCTTGTTTACTGAGCACCTACTATGTGCTGGAAACATGCCAGTGAGTACAATTCTCTGCCTTCTCGGAACTGACATCTACCACGTGCCCAAGTTCCAGGGATATAGAGGTGATTAAGGAGACCCCATCTCTGTCCTCTTGGTCTCCCTTGGTACATTTTTTGTTTGGGTCCCTAGTATAGATACGCTTTTCTGGGGAAAGGGCTGGGCATCCTACATGTCAAACATCCATCTTCCCCGGTGGGGATGGCCATGCCACAATTCCTTCTCCTCCACTGTCCTCTTGGGATTTGGGGCACATGTGCCCATGTACCCAGAGTCATTTTCATGCCACTGGGCCTGAGAACTTGAACCATGGTCAGCCGTAAGAGAAGTAGTTACGAGAGCAAGAGTAAGCGTTGTACAGTCAACTTCGGCAATGCATTCTCCGCTTAAAATGGACTGTGCACTGAATATAGGGGCAGCAGGAACATCAAGAAGCTAGCACTTCTTATGTGAGAGCCGTAGCAAACCACTCTAACACTGAGTGGCTTAAAACAACAAGTGTTCTTCTCTTGCAAGTCATATGGGCTGGCTGGGTTCAGTGGAACGGTTCATCTTTCATTGCTTGAGGTTCCTTCAATGGCTGTGGGCTGCACCTTAGCCTCACTCCCTCTCCATGTAGTCCAGGACCTGTTCTTGCTCCTCTCTGTGAGATCTCTACAGTAGCAGCAAAGGCTTCCTAAAAGGGAGAGCCTTGTCTCAGCCCGCTGGCAGTTAATACTTGGATAAGCCAGCGTTTAGCGTCCAACTTCCCAGAAGCCCATGGCTAACGATGGTAAAAATGTGGATCCATCAGTTCACTCACCCATCTGTTCCACAAATATGGCACGCCCCCATTCACGGAACTGTCACAGGTCCACAGAGCCTTCTGCAGTGACTGAGGAAGAAGTGGGAGACCCTCCAAGGCTGGAGGTGCACAGTCAGGAGTGGGGATGTCACAAAAGGCCTCCTGACTGAGCCAAGACCTGGAGCCATTGGCCAAGTAGGGAAGATGAGAAGGGTGATCCTCCTAAAGGGAACAACTCATGCAAAGACAGCAGCATCACAGCAGGGCCGCCACACATACTGCTCTGGACCACAGGAGGTTGTGCGACTGGGGGGGATGGGGAAGGGAGACAGCATGGAGGAGAAGGAGTGGCAGCCTGGTGGCATCTACTGACAGGCTCATCCCCGGAGGTGTTGGGGATCTCCTGAGGCTACGTCTGAAGTCACACAACTGTGCAAGGTGACAATGCTGCCTTCAGAGCAATCCAGAGATGGCAGAGTAGGTGTGTACCAGGAGGATGGGAGGCTGGGTGGGGGTCATCCAGCCTGCCCTGGGGAGAGTCTGAGATGCCCACAGGGGGAGCAGGAAGCCTTCTCCTCCTCCCTTTGGGAGGGAAGGAGAACTTGAACTTTGGGGCAAGGGCAGGAAGAGAAGGCCCTTCCTGCGTGCCCCTCTCTCAGTGTGTTGCTCACCACACCTTCCAGCCCTGGCTCAGGGGCTGCTCTTATTCCCATTTTGCACAAGAAGCAAATGAAGTGAGGTGGATGAGGCTGTGCCCCTGGGCCAGAGATCACACGGTATGTAACAATGAGTGTGGGAAATCTGACCATGACGGCTGTGTGGGGGAGGCGAAAAGGAAGAGATGGCTCCTCTTCTCTGGGGCCATGTGTCCCACAGCATGGGTAGAGTCTTAAAAACCAATCTAGAAGGCAAGGTTGAATTTAGAAAGAGCAGCTTTTTATGCTATGAAAACTCATAGCCTTATTCTGCAATTCTGTATCATCTATGACAAAGTTATTGCCTGAAATGAGTTAATATTTCCCTTTTGGAGATACTATTATCATATCTAAATTACTTTGCAGTTTTCCAATTAAGTTAGCTTTTAAATGGTGCCTTTAATTAGGCAGGGTGATAAGTGGAGCAGATAGTGTTCAAATCTCGATAGAGGGTTCAAGGTGACAGGCAAAGTCCCTGCGAAGTGGCAGCTGTCCCTGCCAAGGGAGACCAGGGTCTCTAGGCTTATGGAAGAAACGTGGGTATCACAGCTCCGGACCTCAGTGAGCTCAAAGTCTAACGAGGAGATACGAAAGCAAATAATAAGTGCTATAATTTATGCCATGGGCATGTACCACACTGAGGCTGGACAAGATTAAAAT